CGGTTAGGCAACTTGCCTAAAAAGCTCAACAGAGCTTGAGAGTGGTGCTCCACGAAATTTCCACTGACGAACCAAGCGATCAAGCTACAAGATAGTATTTTATAAAAGGGTTTTGCTCTCTTCATTTGATCTTATAGGAATTAGTGATGATGCTCTGGGCAATCTGCTCGTTCAAATGTATGGCCGTGTGGATCTCGCAGCAAGTCTTTGCCGAGGTCAAACAGCCGGTGCTTCTCGAGCATGTGATCTGCGCTTGGCCGGATTCGAACGCAGAAAGTATCCTAAGAGATTTTAGGGTTCTTCCTACTTCAAACATCCGGCGGGAAGACATCAGGGCGCCGAGCTGCCGAGCTAGGGTTGATGGCGCGCCTTCCGGCGCTGCCGCGCGTGCTCTTCGTAATCTTGCTGCTGTCGAGATCGGCGACCGGGCTCCATTCTTCGATCACGCAGATTTGCGATGGTAAGCGATCTCGGCACGGGCAAAGCTCTCCGGAAGCGGAGCACCAGATTCTCGAGTCCGAGGAGCTTTATTTCGGGGGTCTGGAGCGCGATGAAGCCGAGATTTCGGTGGAGTTGGATGGAGTCGAGATCTTATCGGCTCGAACCGCTCTAGCCGCTGCCGAGGTAGGCTTTCCCATGATAGTTTTTTCTTATTGTTTCGTTTGAGCTGGTTTGAACTTTTCCAGAACCATGAGAAGCCTATGGAGAATACTGCTGTCCGCAAACGACTGAAAAAGGTGACACCTATTAGCTTGAAGGATTACAAAAGAATGGTGTCGTGGGCAAGCGGAAGTGACAAGTGGAACACCACGATCAAGCACAGGCTCGAGCCCGGGGGTGAGGAGTTCAACTTTGCCGCAGCCTCGCACGGTGCTCAAATAGTGACCTCAAGCAGCGATGGAGGTAATCTTCTCAAGGACAAGTACTTTCGCAGCCCATGCAAGGCCAAGGAGAAGTCTTTTGTCTTGAAGCTTGCAGAAGAAGTCTTGGTGGATACTGTCGTCATCGAAAATCACGAGCTCTACTCGTCCAATCCAAGGGAACTAGAGGTTCTGGGAACCCTCAGCTATCCTACAGAAAACTGGAGGCTCTTGGGAAATGTCGAAGCACAGAATATTTGTCGACCTCAAAGGTTTGTGCTGCCGAAGCCGGAGTGGGCGAGGTATCTGAAGCTGAGAATACTGTCCCACTATGGGAACGAGTATTACTGTACGTTGAATCATCTGCAAATTTTCGGTTCCGGCCTTGAAGGATTGATTGAAGAAGCTCAACCTTACTGTGAGCTGCAGCAGCAAGTAAGAATGTTTTCTTGTCGACTTTGTGGTTGCTCACAGTCTTTCCATTTCCAGGATGCCACACAAATCCACAAATTGCAGGAAGAGTTAAGGTTAGTCTGTTTTCCATAGCTTATATATTTGTCTTCTTTGTCTTCTTAAATTCTTCCCTCTTCCAGGCTACTCAAGAGCCAGATGGCTGACGACGTGTTGTATGTTGCTATTGCTGTCCTGGTTTTAGTGTCTGCCGTTCTCGTGTATCCGTGGATGGGTACTATCGTATGTTTGGTGGTGATCCACATAGCTACCTCTTGATTCAAGGCGATAATCCACACGCTGGCGGTTTATACTGGCTTTTCTCTTTGGCATGTCTATAAAGCATGGTTGACGATTTGAACACCCATCTTGAAGGACTACGAGGTGATGAAGGGACTGAAAGAGTATGATTGACTCTTGGAAAGCAAGTAAGATTATCATACTTTATGTTTCCTTCTCGTGCTCACTTCGCTTGATTGTCTTTGAAGCTGCCTGTCGCTGAGGCGATATTTTCCATCTAAGGGGGAGGTCAGGTCTGGTTCTCTCTCAATCCAAGTCGTTTTCTTATATAGCCTCTCTCTTCTTTTCTTTTATGTAGGCAAGTCCAGTATGGCGGCCAAAGACCAAATGCCCAGTCGTCTCTCCCTGGTGATGCTCATACTGACTGGGGAGGACTGGAGCAGCAGAGACAAGCTTTTGTCGTTTCGAAGTTTGTAGATCGATCAATTTGTCGTGAAATGTTGGCGATTTGTTTATTGCAGGTGGCGATGGTTTATTCTTGTGCAAATTAGTGTAAAGGAGTAAACGAAGAGAGGTCACCCTTTTCAGATTCTTGTTATGTTTTGGTGGTTACAGGAGGAAGCAGGTCTCTCTATGGTCTTCGTGGGGAATCTAATGTCGGAGCCAAAGTTCCAGCCTTGCTGAGTATAAGCGCATGGTGAACTCGAATGAATACGAGGGTTTGTTTGTCCGGCTGAACGGTGCTAGAGTCATGAGCTTCAACAAGGAGGCCCAGCAATATTCTCAACGGGGTCAAGGACCAGCAGTGCCGAGGACAAGTTCGTGGTTGTGGAGCTCTCGAACTGAGGAGTGGAAGCTCTTGGGGCGAAGGATGATATCGGGTCTTACTAGGCGTTAATACTCCCTAGGACAGATCACTCCGTAAGGTATCTCCAGCACAGGATACCGGGAGGAGTCCCTCTGCACGCTTGGCACATGGTGGTGTATGAGCCCTTGATCAAGCGCACCCGTCCCCAGGTTTTCTTTTTATTTTACCTTTAACAATTGCTAAAAATTCTCTTTTAGTGCTTCTTTACCCACTTTTTCTTTTTCCATTTTATTTTTTCCTCATTTTTCTTACTTTTTCCTCTTTCCATATAGACTTCAAACTTTTTTTTTTTCAGATGAGGGGGTAAAAGGGAGGACAAATGATGGAAAAAAGTTGAGTTAATGATATTGAAGCAAGTATAAAAGACATGAATTATGGAGTGAGTACAAATGATAATAGTATTAAAGTGAGGATGAACAATATGAATTGTATAAGTACAAATACAACAAAAACAAATAAAATCAATGCTTTAGAGCTTTCTTTCCTTCAAAGAGGGGATAAAAATGACGAATGAAGTGTGTCTAACATTTGCTATGTGAAGATGGATAAGGATGATACTCATTAATTTGAATTAATATAGATTTCAAATGCTGATCAAGGGGAAGATGAGGCTGTTCTTCCAGTTGAGCTCCAAGTACCTTCTCTTTAGCTCACTTTGCAACATGCAACAAAGTTTCAGCTTACTGAGGAGGAGTAGACAAGCTTGAGCATAGGATCTTCTCTCCAGCTTGATGAGCAGTGATATCCAGTGGCAGAGTAGCGAGGCATAGTGGCAAAGCATCTTCTCACCACAAAGTGAAAGTATAAAGGCCAGCAAGATTAGTTCTAACAAGGCAAGCTCTTTTTGGTAGGAAAACTTGTGATGCTCCAAGATTTTACTCCACCTATGAAGTTCTCCCTCAGGTGGCTTGGTCCCTTCTTTATCAAGAAGTAGATAGATAATTGACAATAGGTGATAGATGGGAGTACACAAATGGAATATATTGATATAAGTATAAAACATTATGATGATTTTTGGCTTTTATCATGTACTAAATATGTGTATAATATTTAAGACTAAAAAGACAATTCCACTTTATAATTTATTTTGCAGTAACTAATTGATAGTAGATCCTAGAATAAAATCATTCCTACCTTTCACATAATGGCATATACTTGAGGTGATATTTCTTTTTGTTTTGCCAAAAGTTACTCTATATAATAACTTTGAGTATGATTTTGAATTCAGTGTATACAAACTTTTAAGATTGTAGAACATAGTTTTTTATGCTTTTGATAAACCTTGATAAAAGCATAGGATTCTAAAACCTAAAGACAACCAAATGGAGAGGTTTCTTTTACATTACCAAGATCACTCACCGCTTTCATTCTCTTAGTTTTGTTTCATAAAGTTTTCTTTGCCAACGTTTTGATATTTGTCTTGGCTTTGTATCATTGGAGGCTATGATTCATACCAACACTGGTGTAGTTAAATGTTTGAGTGTGGGTGAAGGTGGACAGCATTAGGATTTACAACATTTTAAATTCAAAGATATTTGAGTTTTTGGATCTCTGATCAAAGTGTTATGTTATGCTTATACCAAAGCAAATGTGAAGCAAAAGTTAATCGTCATCATTTGTAATTCTAATGGAGATGCCACTCCAATATTAGCCACAAATCTACCAACTCCAACTCCACCCATAGATTCAATCATTGTGGCAGGCCGGGCAATAGCTTTAGGGCTCTTGATTGGCAAGCTGGGCTCCAATGGGAGGGATTTTGTGGTATTTAAAGTTGTTTGCTATGATTTTTAGTTTCCTACCTCTCTATTGATATGGGCTTATTTTTGCATAAACCCGTGAGCAAACTTCTATCCACATACAATAGCAACATCTTCTTTGAACTATCACTTTTTGTCAGTTCAAAATGAAAAGGATACAAACCAAGAAGGACATCCATAACTGGTGTAAGATTACTAAAATGTTATACAATTGAATAAAGAAGAAAGTGACTCCACCCACTAGAATAGTGGCAATTACAATGGAAGAGGTGGTCCATGACACATTTATGGAGCCATAAATGCTACACTCCTTGAGCTTCTATTAGTGATATGAAAACTATCCACTCAAAACATTATTTTTCTTTTGTTAGTGAAGATGTTAACACAGATCTTAGAGTGAAAAACCCTCACATGCCAAATGTTAAATATTATTTTTCTCCAAAACACCATGTCTAGAGTGAAGTGGCTCAAGTGGCTAATAAAGAGAGCACATCACAATAAGTTCAAATTACTTACTGTAGTATGGAGTTGAGATAATAAGCAATCTACTGAATGCTAGCAATATCCAATATAATATGTGTGGGGCTTCTGAGGGCCAAGTGTTAAACTTGAATCCACGGTGACAAATCTACTTTTATTCTAACCCCATATTTCCATGGGGAACGAAAGTAAATAAGATTTTTTAGATGGTGTAGATTGTTTTGCTATAACACCAATGCCAACTATACAAAATAAATATAAACTTTTATATTTTATATAATTACTAGAATGATATACTTTTATTTCAAATACTTGCAAGTGTTATCTTCATAATATTGCCTATATTTTTTATATATGTCTCATAGATACATGACCTTGCAAAAGAATCTTAATTCAAACTTAATAATTTTTAAATTCTGATAGATCTTTAATATTTAAAATCCAGAAAGAAAATTGTACAAATTTAAAGTGGATTTTCTACAAACTAATTCTATTTTATTTAAATATCTAAAAAACCTATATATTATTTTATATTAGTAAATATTTAAATTCTTGAATAAGAAGTCTCTATCAAAATATTTTTATTTATATATAATGCAAAAATATGTTAAAATATAAGGTTGAACCTTAATTTTTAAATGTTTATAATGTTTATATTAAAGTACATTTGAAATTTAAGCTCAAATCATGATCTCAACTTTTCAACATGTGAGCTCAAAAGTGGTCTAAGCTCTTCACCTCCACCTCAAGAACTTGCAAGCAGAGGCAATATTAATGAGAACACCTCCTTCTGGAAGTATAAAGCCCTAGCTGCAAGTTAGAAGTCATGAGAGATTTGCTGTTTTATTTGTGATCAATGTGAAAATAAAAAATTATCTTACACAATAATAGAGCATTTAGCCACAGTGGAGCCAAATTATACTAAGTGGTTTCTCAATTCTCTCATCATTGAGAGCTGATCCCTCCACTCGATAGACCACAAAACAGAGTTTACAAGGTCTAGTGTTGAGTGAAGATTCTTGAATTAGACATGATGATCCATACAAAAGGATTGATGTTTATAATTACTTCCACAATTCTTCTTAAAGTGGAATATAGCAATTTTTTATATTCCAAATCTAGACAGTGATCTAGTTGTGCCAGTTTTCAATGTACCAAAACTATAACAATCAAAAGAACTAGTATATATAGTTTCCCAACCTCCCTTGGCCTTCAGATTTTAGCCTCAATAGCCTTGGTAGACATCTTTGAAATATATTTTCTTGAAAATTGTTGCATGAGGGACTCCGATATATTCCAGGTTGTAGAGGGCCTCTTGATGTGTCGACCAACTGACTCCGATCTCATGTTGCAACATTGCTTAGCCTGGACTTACAAGAGATAAGAAGAACGCTCATATGTCTGGAGTTTTCTCAGCTCACATTTGTGAATCCAACGCTATGATGAATTTTCATGAGTTGCTAAGCATTGTAGCATGGGGGTCCTTGTGTCCCACGAAACAATTGTAACATGTGGTGGCGGCCACGAGCATTTAGGCCATTGGAGGTTTGTGGCCCCATTCACGGCGACAGAGCTTGCTGAAGCACCAGCAGGACTGCCTTGGTCATGATGAAGAACAAGGCTTTGCTGTTGAGTGTTTATATCAGCGTGGAGTCAAATGCAATAAGCATGTATAGACTTGGAAGTCTTCTTCACTTCCTTTTTTATTCCATTGGTTACTAAATGAATTTTGTACACTGGACCTTATCTTCTGGGAGTGATTTCTTCAGAGATTGGAGTTCAGCAAACTGCAAAGACTGTAATCTGGGGAGGCGCGGGGGTGTTCTTTGAATTATTGGTGGATTGCATGACAACATGATCTCCACTGCAAGGTCGGCAAATGCAGCTTGAATAAGGTGGTCCACTCCACTGCAAGGTCGGCCAGCAGCTTGAACAAGATGATCCACTCCACAATTGCTGGACGTTTTTCCAATCCAAC